AGCTCACCTAAAAAATCCTCAACAAATTGTAGGAAACTCTTAACTGCCATCCTGAATATTGAGGTAGATTATTCATATATCTGTGTTCTGTGCACGGAGGAAGTGCACTGACATTTTGTTATATATAACTTTATATATAAAAAAGTTTCACACATTTTAAACAGTATGAAACTAGAGAAAAGTTTATTTGGAAAATGAATGATGATACAGGTCATACGTTTTAGAACAGAACTTGGTGACATTTTCGGCATCTATTGTAAGGGCAAAACTTCTATAAAAATCACATTGTAATATTAAGAAATTCTCAGGCTTACACATGCTTTTTAAAATTATATTTAATAGATTTCATGATTTCATAGACATTAGGGGCTGGAAGCGACCTCATGAGATCATTGAGTCCAGCCCTGTCCATCTGCAGGAAGTCAGCTGGGATCAACTGACCCCAGCAAGAAAAACATCCACGTGTTTTTTGAAAGAGTCCAGAGTAGGTGCTTGCACCACTTCTGAGGGGAGTCTGTTCCAGACCCTGGACACCTGCACCATAAAGAACTTTTTTCTTATGTCTAGTCTAAATTGGCCTTCCTGGAGTTTATGTCCATTAGACCTTATTATCCCTTGAGGAGCTCTGGTGAACAGGTATTCTCCCAGGTCCTGATGTACCTCTCTTATAAAACTGTAGGCTGCTACCAAGTACCCCCTGAGCCTTCTTTTTTCCAGACTGAAGAGTCCCAAGTCCCTCAGCCTCTCCTTGTATGGCCTGCCCTCCAGGCCTTGGATCATATGAGTGGCTCTCCTCTGGACTCTCTCAAGCTTTTTCACTTCCCTCCTGAAGTGGGCGGCCCAAAACTGGATGTAGTACTCCAGCTGTGGTCTCACCAAGGCCGAGTAAAGTGGGAGGATGACATCCCTCATTTTACTTAGATACGTCAGTGAATGCATGCTAGAGTTTGGTTTGCTTTGCCAGCCACAGCTTTGCATTGGTGGCTCATATTCATCTTGTGGCCAATCAAGACCCCCAAGTCTCTTTCAGTCAAGGTGCTAGTGAGTATAGTACTGCCGAGCTTGTAAGTATGTTGAAGGTTCTTCCTACCAAGGTGCAGCACCTTACACTTCTCTACATTGAAGGCCATCAGGTTTTGGTCAGCCCACCTTGAGACCGTGTCCAAGTTGGCCTGTATCCCCATCCTGTCCTGCGGTGTGACCACCCTCCCCCATAATTTGGTGTCATGCGTGAACTTTGCCAGTTCACATCTGACTCCCAAATCCAGATTGTTAGTGAAGATGTTAGAGAACCAGCCCAAGTACCAAGCCCTGAGGGACTCCGCTGGTCCCCCTGCACCACATCGATTTGCTCCCATCAACTAATACACTTTGGGTCCGACCCTGTAGGCAGTTACCTAGCTATTGGACCATAAGATGATCAAGGCCACAGTTCCCCAGCATAACCATGAGGACATCATAGGGAACTAAGTCAAAGGCTTTCTTGAAAACTAGATATATGACATCCACACCATCTCCCTTGTCCAGGGCATGTGTTACCTGGTCATAGAAGGAGATGAGGTTGGTCAGGCAAGACCTACCAGTCACAAAGCCACGTTGGCTGGTATTCAGACACTTGCCTTCCATTAGTCTGGTGTTGATGGATTCCTTGACAATTTTCTCCAGGATTTTTCCAGGGATGGACATCAGCAAGATTGGTCAATAATTCTGCAGTTCATTCTTCATCCCTTTCTTGAAGGTAGGGACCATGTTGACTCTTTGCCAGTCTTCTGGGACCTCACCTGAGCACCATGAATTTTCAAATATCTTTGCCAATGATTTCTGCCAGCTCCTTCAAGACTCTCAGGTGCATTCCTTCTGGGCCTATGAGCTTGTGAATGTCCATTTTCTCAAGGTGTTCCTTCACCTGAGCCACATCAATTTTTGCCCCATCACCCGCTCCCAGGATGGTTTGTGTCCTTTCTGACAGTGTGATTTCCTTGGGAGGGTGAAAACCAATGCACAAAAGTCATTTAGGAAATTGGCCCTTTCTTGGGCATCGGATGTCAGTTGCCCATTTAGATCTCACAGGGATTCAATGCTATCTTTTTTCTTTTTTCGACTTCCCACATATCTTAAGAAGGACTTTCTGTTGTCTTTGATTCCTGCAGCTAGCCTGAGTTTGGTTTGTGCCTTGGCTTTTCTGGACCAGATTTCTGTTTTACTGAAGGATTTGCCTGATCTTTGATGAACTGAGAAGGTGACAAATTCATGGTCACTGTCACCAAGCTTCCCCTCAATCCTCACAATACTCACCAGATCCTCCCCTTTGGCCAGGACCAGAACAAGCAATACCTCTTCCCTAGTCAGCCCGTAGACCTCCTGCATTAGGTAGAGGTCATCAATGCAAGCGAGAAAGCTACATGACCTGTCAGATTTTGCTATGCGGTCAGGGAAGTTGAAGTTCCCCATGATGATCATGCATTGGGAGCATGTGGCCTCGACCAATTCCCTATTGAATTCCTAATCTAATTCTTCCTCTTGGTGGGGAGGTGTAGCAGGGCACTAAGGTGTCTGTTACTGGAGGCAGTGTTACGAGCTCAGCTGCCAATCACCAGGGCAGCACAGGTGCAGGTTGCCGTGACAACTGGTCTGGTCAGCTGACCAGAAGGGGGCAGGGCCTGGCCTTTATAAACAGCATAGGCTGAGGCCAGAGCCCAGTCCCCCTTTGGCTGCCAAGGAGGTAGGAGCTTGAGAAAACCCTGATGGGGATGTATAGGGAAACAAGCCAGGTTGGCTGGGAGTTTATGTTATAGCCCAGGGGTTTTGTGTTTTCTGTTTTGGTTGTTGTAACACCGGAGGATAGGGTGAGGCTGTAGGGGTTGGAGGATGCCTCAATGGGGTGTCCTGACCCTGGCCCAGTGTGGGTGATTATCGGAAGGAGCCCCAGTGGGGCACGAGACCCAGGAAAGGGGTCTGGGGGCCAGGTAAGGCTGAGGCTGCCTGAGCCCCAATTGGGAGGAGCCCAGTGGGCGTAGGACCCAAGGAAGGGGTCGGGGCCAGGTAAGGCCGAGGCTGCCTGAGCCCCGAGGGCAAGAAGCGTGAGCAAGGCCTGAGAGCGGGCGGGGAGCACGAGAGACGTGAGACGGACCCCAGTTTGGGTGAGAGCGTGAGCACGGAGGGACAGGCCCCAGTGGGGCAGTGTCTGTACATGAGGAGCCCCGGGAGGGGGCGCGTTTAGTTGAGGAGCCCCGGGAGGGGCGAGCTTATCGGGAGGCCCCAGAAAGGGGGTGAGCTTAGTGAGGAGCCCTGGGAGGGGGCGAGCTTATCGGGAGGCCCCAGAAGGGGGCGAGCACGAGAAGTGCGAGCATCAGAGGCACCGTGCCAGGGAGGGAGAAAGGCAGCCTCCCTTCAATGAACCAAACATCAAAGACGTGGCGGGCGAGCTATTGAGGGTGCACCAGGAAACCTAATCTGGTATGGAAGGTAGGGGCACTAGGGGAGGTCACGGACCCCCAGGCCCTGTCCTGCCACAGGAGGTCTATAGTAGACTCCTACAAGTTTATAGTTTCATAGTTGGTAAGGTCAGAAGGGACCTGAGCAGACCATCAAGTCCAACCCCCTGCCATGCAGGAAAGAGTACTGGGGTCAAACGACCCCAGCAAGGTGTTCATCCAGCCTCCTCTTAAAGACCTCCAGGGTACAAGCCAGCACCACTCCACTTGGAAGTTGGTTCCAGATCCTAGCTGCCCTGACAGTGAAGTAGTGCCTCCTGATGTCTAGTCTGAACCTACCCTCTGCCAGCTTGTGACTGTTATTTCTAGTCACTCCTGCTAGTGCTCGGGGGAACAGGGACTCCCCCAATGCCTGCTGGTCCCCCCTGATTAGCTTGTAACAGGCCACTAGATCCCCTCTCAGCCTTCTCTTGTGGAGGCTGAACAAGTTCAGGTCCTGTAGCCTCCTCGTAGGACCTGCCCTGCTGCCCCCTGATCATGCGAGTGGCCCTCCTCTGGACCCTCTCCATGTTGTCCACGTCCCTTCTGAAGTGCGGCGCCCAGAACTGGATGCAGTACTCCAACTGTGGCCTGACCAGTG